ATACAGGGTCACTCTGGCTGCTATGTGGAGAACAGAATAAAATGGGACGGGCAAGAAGTGAAAGCTAAAGGCTATTGCTTAATCCAGACCAGAGATGGTGGACTAGAAAATTTAACAGTGGAGATGGTGAAAAGTAACTGCATTTCAAATATATTCTGAAGATGGAAATGACAGGACTGGCTGATGGACTGGCTTTAGAGGTGAGAGAAGAAGGCTAGTGGATGGATAAGGAAAGAAAAAGGAATCATCAGCATATAGATGGGTAATGAGAGTGTGGAGAAAAGGAGTCCCAGTACTGTGCCCAAAAGACATTAACAATTAGAAGCAAAGAAAGAAAGGGGAGCTAGGAAAGGAGATTGAGAAGTAGTCTCAGTGACAAGATGGAGCACTCAGGGAATCTTCCAGACCCCTTTCTGTAGATTAGTGAGGATGAAAGCCCAACAGAATGACTGAGGGAATGAGGGGATAAACAACATTTCTAAGAAGTTTTGTTGTGACAGGAAGCAGAAATGAAGCAGTAGGTGGACACGAATGCGGGGACAAGGAAGTTTTTAATATCGATAAATTAATTCAGGTTTGTATGCCGACAGGAAATGCTTTAGTCACAAGGGGGAAACTGCCCGAGCCAGTTTGGCTCTGTGAACAGAACGTGGCCTGCGGATCAAAGGGTCTCAGGTTCGATTCTGGTCAAGGGCACGTACCTTGGTTGCAGGCTCCTCCCCACCCTAGGCCCCAACCAGGGCATGTGCAGGAGGCAACCAATCCATGTGTTTCTCTCATGTTGATGTTTCTCTGTCTTCCCCTCACTTTTCCACTCTCTCTCTAAAAAAAAAATTTAAAAAAATCAATGGAAAAATACCCCACGGTGAGAATTAACAACAACAAAAAAACAAAAAAAAAAGAGGGGAAACTGATCACAATGGCTCAGGCTAGAGTAATATGAATATTTTTCAAGTGGCAGATTAAACTCCATCAGAGGATTGCAAAATCGATTCAGTGGGTCAACATTCAGTGAGTTTAAATAAATATGAGAAGAGACTGAGGAAAGAGTGAAGATAGGGAAAAAATAAAATGACGTAATTTTAACCAAACTGCTAAATTATTAACATTAGGAAGGCTGAGGCATGAAGAAACGATTCTTTTTTCTTGTCTTAACTAGACTGAGAACTTAAACTTTGGAACTTTCCAGTCTTGCATCAATACTTTGAGAGACACCCGTTTTTGAACATCAGTGCTGGGACATATATCAAACCGGCAGATAACCCTCCGACTACCCCCAGGTCTCAGGACCAGACCCCCCCCCTGGCGACCGTCCGCGGACCACGTGGCATCTGGGTAACAGTGCAGGACCCATCCCAGGGCTAAGAATGCAGAACTGACTCTTCTCAAGGATATGACTTTTACTATTAGAATTCAACTTTTCTTCCTTCTTGGGAAAACTTCTAGGTTTTCCAGTTAGCAACCTCTAAAAACCTTAAATAAACTTTATTTCTAGCCAAAGCCTCCTCTCTTTGAGTAGGTTGGACCCGACAGTATCAGAGTGTAAAGTATGGTTTCATGAAGCTTTCACTTCAGGCACGTGCACATGTTGTACGTGTATTTAAGTGTGAAAAACAGTACATATAACCATTAAATACGCGGCGAAAGAACGTAGAGTGTGAGTATTCGATGATCAGTGCCAAAGACAAACCCACTGTCGGTGATGCCTATGAATTAATAGCAGACACGTAAAAACTTCCATTTGCCTACGGGACAACGAGCAAACACGGGAAAGGCCATGTGGGGTTCAACTGTTGGAAGGACTGCTGCTCCCCCTGCACACACTCAGCCTCCGAGTCTTCTTCCCAGAAACCCGCCCCTTCCGGTGAAGAGCTCCCCGCTCCTCCCCACCCGGGAGCCCGCTGCCCCGGCAAAGCGTATCCTTCTCTCTCCCAGGAACCTGCAGGGCGGACTCCAGGCCCGGACCGGGATCACCGCCGGACCTCGGGAACGCTAGCAGACGAATGCGGGGGAAGCAGGCGCGCTGAAAGGCACGCGGCCCGGGCACCGGACACCCGGCACCGGATGGGAGTGCGGCGGCGGTTCAGAGGAGCAGAGCCAGTCCCCTTCTGCCCCGCCTCCCGGCTCGTGGCCCTCCCCGCCCGGCCGTACGCGAGGTCGCCCAGCCCACGCCTGTCAGCTCCCAGCACCCAGCCGTCCCCCGCCGTGGGCCTCGGCGGACCCTGGTGACTTACACTTCCATGCCGACCCGCCTCGCCGCCTCCGGCCGTCAGCAAGCCCAGCGCCTCGCTCCCGTCGACCGCGCCACACACCGCGCCGCCGCCTTCAAGCGCCGCGGTGCACGCCGGGACCGCGCGCTGCACGCCGGGAGTCTGGCGGCCCCCGCCCCCCGGGATCGCGGTGGTGCTCGTTCCTCTTGCCATCTGATCCCGGTGCTTCCTCTTCGCCCCGCTGGACTTCAGCGTGGGCAGCGTCTGCAGACAGGACTTAGCTTATGTCCCCGTGGTCTAGGTTATGCCAAAATATTCATAAACTACGGTTCCAAAGGCGCCATCTCCTTCATGGTCCTTTGCCCTCCGAGAGCAGTGACGCCCCGGCGGTGAGGCGGCCCAGGGCTGCTGGGGATGTTCCGTTTCAGGACCTGAGTGCTGGGTACTCGGTGTGTTCGCTGCTGCAGATTCAGGGAGCTGTACGCTTACGTCCACTTTCATGCGTGTGTGTTACAATTTAATAAAACGTTTTCAAAGGTAAAAAATAAAAATAATCCTAACCTACCTTCTCCCTGTTCCCATCCTTCCTTGAGAGCTATTTGGGGGGAAAAAACAAAAAGTAGGCGTAAAGAGCTTCAACATCAGGCAGTCTCTGACCTTCTGGCCTTTCTAGGACTTTATCCAAAGGGAATTATCAGGTGCTTTGAAAGATGACGTGTATGGATATGTTTTTGCTGGGAAATAGCCTAAATGCCCAACAGTAGGGAATTAATAAGTAATGTTTCAGTCATGCAATGTAATATGCGGCCATGAAAAGCCATGTGGCATATTTGGTATATTGAGGAAATGCTCAAGATGGGATTTTTAAGGACAGAAAATGATGTGGTGTGACCCTAATAGTGTAAAGAAAAATAACACATAGGGAATAAAATATCTAAGGGTTTGGGAGGTAGAGCTACCTAATCTTCAACATTTTATGTATTTTTTAAAAGCAGGGGTGGGAGTTTGATATCTGTTATCTTCTGGATTTTTTTTTTTTTTTTTTTTTTTTTGGTGTATTGGAAATATTTCCTAAAGACCGGAAGGAAGCCCTAGCTGGTTTGGCTCAGTGGATAAAACATCAACCTGGGGACTGAAGGGTCCTGGGTTCGATTCCGGTCAAGGGCAATGCCCAGGTTGTGGGCTTGATCCCCAGTGGGGGGCGTGCAGGAGGCAGCCAATCAACGATTCTCTTGAAGCATCCATTTTATATAAAAACTGCTGTTTGAAATTTTAACCCCGCATTTTGGCTTCTGTAATGCTTGCTGGCTTAAATAATAAGGAAAATAAGACTACTCCCATTTCAGAGAGGCCATTAAACCTTCCCCAGACGAAGTTATCAGTGCTGTCACCAGGCCAAGCCTTTGGTTGAGGTCTCAAAGCCCCAGCACATAGGGCCCTTTAAGAACTTGCAAAGGGAACCGGGGGAAAAAGCCCATATTTGGGAGACAAAGAGGGTAAAATGGTATAAATACAGGAAACTTCCTGTGTGACGGGGCCCAGAATTTGAGAGACATTTTCCTCTGGGCCCATGCATAATAATAATAATAAATGTAACTCCATCTCTCTAAGCGTTGCTTGGTTCTTCTCCGGTTTTCTGTAACACTCTCATCATTGATGTTTCTATCTCTCTCCCTCTCCCTTCCTCTCTGAAATCAATAAAAATGTATCTTTTAAAAAATAAGACTAGTGCCTGTTTAAGAAAAAAAAGTCTGGAAGGAAATGTATCAAAATATTAAGTGGTGGGTGTCTTTAGATGAGTTAATTGCTAATTTTTTCTCCTTTGTTATAGTTCTATCCGTTATTATTTACTAAACTCATTCTCTTTGCAAGGTTCTTGCTAAGCACTTCATTATTCCAGAATATTGTGGAGGCTATGCAGTTGGTCAGCCTGTGATTCTGTTTACCTCCATCATTTTCATAGGGGCTGTTTGATTTTGGCATGTGTCCTGACCAGGAATCGAATCCAGAACTCCTGGTTCATGGATCAACAACCACTGAACCACACTGGCTGGGCTAAAAATATTATTTTAAAAACAACTAATTTTTAAAAAGAATAAATAAATAAAAACAACTAATTTACTTTAAATTTTTTAAAATAAAATGCCACCCCAGACCCTGCTGGTCTGATTCATGTGAGAGTCCCCTGTACCTCCCTTGAGGAGAATGACCCCCACAAAGAAGTGCTGAAGATGCTCGTGTGTCATTCACTCAGCAAACGTAGTGATGGCCCATTCGGTGGTGGTGACACAAATGTGAATAATTCACACTCCCTGCCCGGCCAGCGGACAGCCTAGTTGGAGAACCAGCTCTGGACATCAATAACTACAGTATGTTGTGTTTAGACGCGATGGAGCAAAAGGGAAATGACTAATGAGGTGGAGAGGCGTCACAAAGCCCAGGGTGTTTGAGCTGGTGCAGGGAGGAGCACACAAAGCCAAAGCTTCCGGAATGAGCTTCCACGGAAGAGAGGCTAGTGCCACTGAGGGCCCCACCATAAAATGGCTGAGCTCCAGGTGCTCCAAGGGAAGCCACCCTAAGACCTTGGGGTTCATATGCAGTCACCCAACTTATCCCCTAGAGGTAGCTGGGTAGTCGGGAGTGGGGCCTGCTCCCAGGGGAAGGCTGCCCAGGAGCCTGCAGGAAGAGAGAACCCAGCCAACAGAGCTGGGCTAGTCAAGGGCTGAAACTCCAGCCTGGCCTGGCCCCATTCAGGGCCTCCTGCAGCTTTTCTAACTTGAGGCTGCCTAATGCAGTGGTTCTCAACCTTCCTAATGCCACGACCCTTTAATACAGTTCCTCATGTTGTGGTGACCCCCAATTTCATTGTTACAAATTGAACATAATTAAAGCATAGTAATTAATCACAAAAACAGGGTCGTTCAACCCCCAAAGGGGTCGCGACCCACAGGTTGAGAACCGCTGGCCTAATGAGTTTCTATTCTTTGCCACCCAAAGCACATAAACCAAGTAAAAGGCTTTTTTTTTTTTTTTTTCATAACAGCTGGCTTTTTAGGCAGAGCTATCAAATATACACAAAGGTACAGAACATGAGCAAACCTTCTAAGTCTTCCAAGTGGAAAGTCCTGTTGAACATTGAAGCCATTAGGTCTAGGGCTCAGCAGAAAATCAGCAAATAGAGCTTTTGAAGTAGAAATAAAGTTCTTAAAGTTAAGTCACTCAGGAAGAGTCTAGAAGAATAAGACTGATTTGGTGTGTATTCATTTAATCCTCATGAAGTTCCCATGAGGATGTGTGCCAGGCATGGCACTAGCAGTCTCATTTACTTCTCTCAGGAGTTCTTGAAGTTAAAAGAACTACGATCAGCCTTAGCCAATTTGGCTCAGTGGATAGAATATTGGCCTAGGGACTGGAGGGTCCTGGGTTCGATTCCAGACTAGGGCACATGCACGGGTTATGGGCTCAATCCCCAGTAGGGGGCATGCAGGAGGCAGCCGATCAATGATTCTCTCTCATCATTGATGTTTCTCTCTCTTTCTCTCCCTTCCCCTCTGGAATCAATCAATATATATATATTTTAAAGTACTATGATCAGCCCATTTCACAGAGAGGAATTGGGAAGTGGCCGAGCCAGGGTTCTCACTCTTCTCTAGCCAACTCCAACACCCATGTGCACCAGCACCACCCCAACTTTACCTCTCTCAGTTTTAGGGCCTGCTAATATTAGGGGGGCCTCCCTTTTTTGCACTACACCCTTCCTCAGTCATTTTGATGCACCAAGGTGGAAATTTCAGAGGAGAGAGGTCAGGCAAGGTTTCCACACTTCTGAGGCAGATAAATCCTGGATAGCACTCAGCCCTCAGCTGAGAACAGGCGCCATCCATTGTTGAACAGTCCTGGACCCCCAAGCTGAAAATGAGGATGGACACAGAAAGTTTGCCTCTGACCAAGGCCTGGAAGGAAACACCAGCAGAGTTAGAATGGAGTTGTGATCCTTTTTTATCACCCCAGGAGCAGGAATTGTAGACCCTGAGTGACATCTACTCATGGGTTATATGCCTGGGACACACAGGAATGAGGCAGCCAAGTGTTGTGGTTATAGGTGTGGGCTCTGTAGCCAGACACCTGAGCTAAATGCAGGCTCTATCACTCACTCACTGTGTGGCCTTAGGCAAGTTCCTTAACAACCTTTCTGTGTCTTGGTTATTTCATCTATAAAACAATATAGAGTTGTTGTGCTCAGAATAGCACTTGGCAAGTGGGAAGCATGGGGGGTGGGGGGTGTTAACTATTATTCTCCTATGTATCCAAAGCAAGGAAATAAGATTTTTAATAAAGAAAGCTCTAAGTATAAGGTGATATGTGCCTATCATCTAGTTCTCATTGCAGATATGCTATCCATCTTCTTGGGGAAATCATGGAGTCCTTCATTACCCACCCTTACCTCAGAACAGTTGACATGAGTTGAGTTAGAGGCGTCCGATGAGTACGAAAATGTGTTACCTGGCAGTGCAGGGCGCGGGGTGGCGGGGTGGGGAACAAGTGGTCAGCCCCATTCAGGAGCATTTTCCTGGAGTCTCTCCATATGTTAAGCAGAATCATGGTTCCTCAAAGATGTCCACACCCTAAATTCTGCAGATGTGATGAAGGTTATGAACCTTGAGATGGGGAGAGTATCCTGTGTCATTTGGACAGGCCCAATCTAACCACCTGGGTCCTTACAAGAGGAAAATCTTTCCCAGCTGATTTCAGAGTCAGGTGTGACTGGAAGCATGCTCAGAAAGATGCTATGTTGTCAGCTCTAAAGATAGAGGAAGGGGGCCATGAGCCAAGGGATGCAGGTGGCCTCCAGAAACCAGAAAAGGCAAAGAAATGAATTCTCCACTGGAACCTCCAGAAAGGACTGCAGCCCTGCCAACACCGTGATTTTATCCCAGTAAAAGCCATGTAGGACTATTAACACAGAGAATTGTGAGATAATAAATTTGTGGGGTTTTGTGTTATAATTTGTTACAGCAGCAATAGGAGACATAGTACATATACAGCTTCTTCTTCACTCAATGCCCGGTACCCAGATATCGTTATCCTCTTTTTAATGAACCCCCAAAAGGTTAAGTCACTACCTGAGATCACACCCACAGAGTGATGTGGCTGAGATTCACCCCCTGGCTCCTCTGACTCTCAGAGCCTGTCATGAAACACACTCTAGTCCGGTCACTGCCGCTTGAGCCC